TTTATTTATTTTATTTATACATTTATATATATATATATATTTCGTTCGTTATTTTGTTTTTTGTATTTAAAAATTTTTGTTCTATTTTCTTCGTATTCGAAAAAGCTTAGCCTGATGATGGCCAATAGAGTTGGCTGAAAACGTTAGCTTTTCATTAAAAGTTTTCTCAGCAAATTAAGGTGTTGTGTTTTTTTGAGTTTATAATTCAATATTTAATGCCATCTAATCAAAGATTTCTTTATAATATTCTCACTGAACTAATTTAAAAACTATGCTATTAACAATAATATAACTTAAACAGCAATATTAAGCTATCTCTGTTGACTTGAAAGCTTAAAACTTTCAAGTATGAATACAGGTATACCTCGACTTACGTCGTTTCGAGTTACGTCGTTCCCGATTATACGTCGTTTGTCAAAAAAGTATATGGAAAAATAAAAATCAAGTTTAAGTCATTTTATTTGACTTTACGTCTGTCCGCCACAAATATTGAAGTCGTAATATCACTAGAAAAGCGTTTAAAGCACATAAAATCACATTAAAATATATACATTTACAAGTATGTACTGTATTTACAATACATGCATTCGTAAATTTAGATTACTTTTTTTGTACTATATTAAAAACTAAAATTTAATAAAATTGTTTGTAAGCTTAATAAATAAAATATAGAACCGGGAATGGTAATTTATGGTTTAGTCTAGTGACAAGTAGATTTGGAGACAAGTAAATTTGACTTACGTTGTTTTTCGACTTACGTCGCTTTCCTGGAACCAATTACCGACGTAAGGCGAGGTATACCTGTATTTAAATTTGGCTTGGAAAATTAAATAGTCTTACCTAAACTTAACTGGACATCCTTAACTTCTAATGTATTAGATTTACGATGTTTAGCCAGGAGACAAGAGGTAGTAACAACATTTTCGATGAAATCATCAGCAATTTGTAAAAGTAACTATATTCATTAAAGCAATAAGTTTAATGAAAAACTTTCATTAAAAAACTATATATGATTCAAATATATAAAATACAAAATGTATATAATTCATTAAATATTTAAGAAAACATTTTAAAAAGCTATTAAATGTTATTAAATGCTAGGCTAGCTTCACTGTTTTATAACATAATATAACAACGAAACTAGAAAACTTAAAATGGGATTTTTTAACAATAATAAAAATTTAACATTTATTAATTCTCCAAAAGTTAATACAGTAGAGTCTCGAAAACTCGGCCTAATGTGGACCGAAGGGTGGCCGAGTTTGTGAAAATGCTGGGTTATCAGGAATGAGGGGGGATAAAAAAAATAAGTATGAGTGTTTCCTCAGAAAATACTGTTCTGTACTTGTATGTATTGTTTACTTGAGAATACAACAGAGAATAAACTGCCCAAATACCCTTAAACAAAGGAAAAGTACGTCCTTTATGAAGGCACAGAGCCTTTACTACATGAAAATGAAAATTAATGAATACACTGTGTACAGTAATTTACCTGATAAGACAGACCTCAGAAAAATACTTTATGAGGCATAAAGCTGTCTATAATGAAAATTAATTAACTAAGGATTTTTTTGCACTGCCAGGGTGTGGCCGAGTTATCTGGACTGCCGGGTTATCGAGTGCCAAGTTTTCGAGACTCTACTGTATTAAATATAACTATAAAAAAATATGCAAAACATTATATTTTAATAAAAGAATTAGCTTTAATTCAATTTAGAGTGACATGACAACTAGAAATACTTTTGCTTTTAATGATGATATAAACAAAAGAGAAATTTTATTTATTCTATCAATTAGCAAATTATTCTCTATTAAAATTAACTGCTATAAAATAACTATAAATCATTATATTTTGTATTAATAAAATTTTTCAGATTTTTATATGTTGGTTCACTTATATTAAAGTGAACCAACCTATTTCATAGGTAATTCTGATAAAGATTTGTATACTCAAGACTTTTTAAAATTAAAAGTTATCATTAGTAAGATATTCTATATTCAACTAGCTTACCCGTCGCACATTGCTGCGATCTCAGAAGAAACGAAATTCAAGCAAACTCATTATGATAAAATTCAATTTGCATTTTATCATTTTTATTGAAACTTATTATTATTATATTATTATTCATTTTCATCAGGAAAACATTTCAGTGTCATTTCAATTCTATTTATTTATTGAAGTGCTTGTGGATACACGATATATTTTGTTTTTCCGTCTGATGCGTACACGAATAAATCGGTTTTCCGACGCGTGAGCTGGTCTATGCGAGTAGCACGGATTCTCCAAATTTAGCCTACACACTTGCAGCAATTGTCAGAAGTGCGATATTCCCCATATTTATATATATATATTTTAATCCTTTATAATTTTAATTATTTAATTGCTCCTTCCTCTCTTCCTTGGTATGTTGTGAAATTTCTGATAGTTGGATAATAAACCGTTTTATTGTAATTTGTCTTTTTAAATTATTTTGAGTTGATATTAAAATTTGGAAAAGGAGGATACCTAGATCGGTAAAATAGGCGAATTTCCTCCTACAACTTCGATTGTTGTTTGGGATACAGTTAAGGTTTTAACAAAGTTCAAGCAAATACATAATTAGTAAAAAAAAAAGTTGAAATAAAGTGATTAAACAAAAATTATTACAAATATTGTAAATAACAAATGCATATATAGAGATATTTTTTGGAGGGGGAAATGGTCTTCACAATTTGAAATCGATCGAACACACAGTGCTCGTATACACACGCGCCATCTATCATAGGATAAATGTACTATGCCAGAAACCTTTGTGGGAGTGTATTAAAAAACTTTCCAAAGTTTCATGGCAATCGTACTATGCCAGAAACCTTCACAGGAGTATATTAAACAACTTCCCAAAGTTTCACGGCAATCGGATAAACAGTGTGGTAATGCATGAAGGACAGACACACATACACATTCATTTTTATATATATAGATAAAACATTTGTGTAATCATTTTTTCTCTTAATTTTATCTACAGTATAATGATTTATTTAAATATAATTTTAAATATTTCTATCTTCTTGTTAACTCAGAGTAAATATAATTCCATATAATTTTTATTTTACACTAGATGCAAAGGGCATAAAAGTGAAAAGAAAGAAGTAAATATCATTCACACTGTAATTGGTGGTAAGCATTGTAGTTTTGCACTTTTACCAATACATGGTATTTTAAAAAGTTCAATATATATTACAGTTGCCTGCATTAACATTCTTCTTTTTGTTTAGTGTGTTGTGTAGGTTTATCAAAATTTAATTATATACCAGTATTATTTTCAATATGGATCTTTTTAATTATTGGATACCATTTTTTCCTGCTGTGAGTCAAGAAGAAAATGTTGCTTTCATTGGCTTGCACTTGCCAATTCATCCTTTCTGTTGTGTACTCTCATCAGCTAACATAAAAATGTTTAACTTGCTTCACGAGTTTATGTACACTCACATTTAATCACTAGCTCTCTTCACTTTGTTATGCTTCATGCCCATCCAGTGTAAATTGTAAGTTAAAATATCAATAAATTGAAATTGGTTTGGTAATACAAAGAAATAAATTTATGATTGATTACTAATGAAAATTAACTCTAATTCTGTTTGTTAGGAAAGAGAAAGCATACTCTCTAACTTTAATAATGAACCTCTTCAGGTATTAATTAAAACTGAAAAACTTTTATTTAAATTTTAAATGTCTATTTGAACTTTTTGAGGTATCCCTTCATTGATGCAATTGATTAATCCCTCAATGCTACTGCATATATCAAAATCATGTTAATCAAATACAACAATACATCACAATCACAACCCACTAGAACAAATTTTCAGTTAATAACAAATATTTTTATTATAATTTTTTCATCTGTCAGAAAAGTTCTCTATGATAAAAATGTGTAACTAATTTTAAAATAAAACAAAACCTTAGAGCTGCCTATCTTTGTCTTACAGAATTATACTTGATTTAATTTGTTTTTTCACTTAATGCATGCAGAATACAATCATGTCAATGCTATACTAAGATTTGTTGCAAGTTCATGAATTGTTATTCTATAAACACAACCAACTAGCCTGAATGATCAGACTAGTTGGTTGTGCTTATATATATACTCATCGGGCTTTAGGATGTTTATTATATATAGTTTTTATTTGTCGATTTTTAACAATTTCTTCTTGAAATTTCTTTTCATCAACAGCTTTTGGGCTATACATTTTGTATCCTTTAGTTCAAGATTTCCTGAAAGTTATCAAAACCACATTTGATATGTTTGAAGTTTAGAAGCATCTTCCTCATACACTGAATATTTTTTTTTACTATTTATAATATTATATCTTTTATGAAACTTAAAAAGCATATATAATATGCCTGAAAGCATTTCAATTTGATTTTACACAAACAAAATGTGAAGTTTTAAAATAAGCTTCTAAACAAAGAATACAACATCACATTAACAATAATGTGTTAAATTTCACAACTATTATAATTAAACTACATATGTATATCTGAAATTGCCCTTAGCATGAAAATAGCAAATTCACCAGCAACTTATTTGCCAAGATAAATATATCTATGTTAAGTAAAGACTGCTATTAAAGCTGCATTAATTAAAACGTCTGCCATATATATAAAAGAACTGCCGCAATTAATTTTGTGTGTTAATCAAATCCCACATTAATCAAGTAATACCCATATAAAATAAAACAAAAGTATAAAATTATATTACTTGCAAATGTTTGAAGTAACAACAAATATATTTTTAATTTATTAAATTTAAATCCATTAAAAATATTTTTTGTCTTAAATACTGTTTAGCTAGATTTACCAGCTAGTTAGTACTTGAAAATTATTTTAGTAATAATATAGTCAAATATTATAACTAAAGTTTTTCAATAAATACTATAAACTAATAATTCAGTTTTCAAGAAAAATATGATTTCCTATTTAAGTAAGTGGATGAAAAATGACCATTATAGAATGATTTTCAACTATCTTTTTAATTTAAAATCAAGAGTTAATGAAATTAATAAAATGTACTAAAGTTTTACTTCTACATTCATTTTTTTATTTTGATGTAAGTTCCAAATTACCAATAGAATAAAATAGTAATTAGTACAGATAAAATTATTACCCAATTTCAACGATTAGAACTAAACAGTATATGGTTAATTAAAACAAATATTTAGTATATGTTTTTAATAAAAAATGCAATATAAAGCATACATGTTTTTTTTATATCTTATCTCTTTTAATTTACATTAATATGTAAAGTTCCATATTAGATTTCCATATTAGTTCCAATTTTATTGAATAAAGATTAAAATTTTCATTCATATTAAATTCTTTTCCATTACATTATTATTCCAATATGTTAGTATGACAAATAGAAAGCTTTTTAAAGTGTTGTTTTTGATATTAATACATCACAATAACTACTTGATTATTTCATGCTAGATTAACCAGTAACATTCATGCCTATAATAATAATGCTGATAATAAAGAGCTATTAAAAACTATGCAACAGAAAAGGATTCACTTTTATTTTTAGAGGAATTTACTTTTTTATTTGATGTTTTTCTAAAAGAATCTTTTTCTGTTGCATAGTTGTTAACAGCTCTTTCTTATTTCCATCATCATTTTAGGCATTGATGTTCTGGTTAATCCAGAAATAAATAAATACATACATACATAAATAAAACATTAAGTTTTTATGTTACTTTGTATAAACAGCAGATTGAAATTTGATTATTTGAAATTATTTCACATTTACCCAGTATAGTTATGAAGCTACTGTATTATTACTTTCAAATAATTTTTATTTATTTTTGAATAATAATAGTGAAACTGAATCATACCTCCTCCACATCATCATCAAGTTGTTCATTTGGATCTACCTCCCTAACTAAATCTTGTAGACGTTGTCTATTTAATACCTTTAAAAATAAAAATTAATATATTTACTTTTAAAAATTACTTTTTCATCTATAATATATTATTATACTTACAAATAAGAAATATAATAATTAAAATATTTTATTATATTATTATTTAAGAATAGTTTGAAAAAAATCTTCAAAAATCAAAATTTACAAATGTTACAATTAATTAAAAAAATATAATTATTAATCATTATCTTACATTGTTAGTCATTTAAATAAAATGAAATTATTGTATGTAAAAATAATTTTTAGGTTTTCATCTTTAAGGTAAAAATAATGATAAAAATACAAAATGTGTTTTTTCTTCAAATTATTAAAAACGTTCACTATTTATTTAATGATTTCATTTATACATTATCACAACTTTAGCATAATTTAAAATCTACAAATCACAGAAATAAAAACTTCTATTAATTTTTATATATTTTTTAACTGTCACATTCATCTTCAAAAATTGCATATTCTATAACATAGAATGAAATGAATAAGACTAATTTTTTAAAAAATTAGTAAAATTATTTTATGAATGCACATTTTCTATGCTGTATTTAAAATAACATTAAAAATGTTAATTGTATAAAATATGAATAATGTTAAGTTACAGTCAACCCCCCTATAACACTGTTGATTATTCCGTTTTATATGAATTCCATGTTGTACGAGTCACTTAGATTTTACAAATACGTGTGCCAGGCTGTGAACGGCTCACGTATTTGTAAAATCTAAGTGACTCGTACAACATGGAATTCATATAAAACGGAATAATTAACAGTGTTATAGGGGTGGTCGACTGTATTAAAATATACTTTTTATTTATTAAATGTGCACATAACTGATACAATACTTTTAAAGTGCTATTAGAAAACAATTTATTTATATGAGATTTTCTTTTGTGTGTGTTGTTATAAATTTTAAAACATTAAACATAGCAATCAAATCTGTAATTCTAAATTCTGAACTTTACAACTAAACTTATCTAAATATCTATCTCTTACACTAATTAAGATCTAAATATCTCTTAAGATTAAATGCTGTGCATTTAGTCTTAAAAGATATTTAGATCTTAATTAGTGTAAGAGAGAGATATTTGAATGAAAGATCTGATGTACACAGTATGTAAACCTAATGTGTGATACTTAAGCAGTAGCTACAACTAATGATTTCCAGCCACACGGGCAACTGCAACAAGTGTAAGTTGCATGTCTTGTTGCAATCACTTTATTCATTGGCATTGCAATGTGGAAAAAACACATGACCTTATAATAAACAAACACACACTTTGGCTGCTATCTTGAACTTTTTCCTTAATGCAAAGTACTTTTACTTAGTACTTTTTACTTAGTTCTTTAGCTATATTTAAAATAATATTGTTATTACTAAACTAAAACCAATTAATGAAAATGTAGTTCACTTCACGCCAGCATTTAGAAATTAAAAATATGACACTTCCGTGTTGCGGCATTATTGACAGCGATTTGTTAAATTTCAAACGTGCTCGCTAGTACTTTCAACAGTTTACAACCGTCGTCTTCAGGCGAAATCGAATACCTCTGTTTTCGAATTGACAGCTTTTAACAGACTTTCCAAATTACGTAATGCGCGTGGTTGGAATATAGAACAAATTAATAAAATTGAATAAATAAATATTTTTTTAAAGAAACCTGCTGTAATAACTTGAATTCCCCGAAACATATAAATATTGATTGATGGTGCCGTGCATAGTAATGGAATAAAATCAGAACACAATTTTATNTAAGAGTTAATTCAGTGAGAAATGCTGCTTATCATGAATACTCCTAATGGAAATATTTACAAGAAATATGAATTTTAATAAATCAGAATATTTCTAATTAGAATTATGTTTAAATAGCAATAAGTTTTTATTCTATGGTAGAAAAATTAATAACACCATTAGTTATAAAACTATTAAATATATTTGAAAAACTATAGTTAAAGATGTAAAATTTATATAATTTATTATTTGAATTGTTACATTATTAAATCTGTAAACTTTATAAAATATCATCTTGTTTAACTTACCAAAATCAATAATATCAATGAGCATACTATTAATATACTCATTGATAAACTCAAGTGACTGCAACTTGATTAAGTCAGAGAAACTTTACAACTAATGATTTACATGAAATATTAACAAAATCACTTCTAGTTTAATACTGAAATCAGAAATAGCCATTTTCTTAATTTCACTATTGAACCTTCAGATGAATTTAAATCATCACTAAGAATATTTACTAAATTAAATTAAAAGATATGTAATGTGTCTCTAATTTTTAAAACTTATTATTACAGAAATTTTTGTATGCCATGGATTCAATTTAATATTTCTTATGCTATAAGCATTTAATACTAACTTTAATACAGGACAAAACCTACTTGTGTTCCATCTGAAATAGTTGATAATCTTTCAGTGCCTCCAGTAACTGCTTTAACAATAGCAGTCATGTTTGCAGGATTGACAGAGGTAACAGTTGTGGGTGTACTAATAGGAGATGGAATGGCATTGACAGCTGCTAAAGTTATGGTTCCAGGAACTGCAGGTGCAGGTTGAGCTATAGTCTATTAAATAAGTTTAAATAATTTTACAACAGAACTAAAATTAATTTAACTTTACAGTTTTATATCTTACCGTACTTACTGCAGGTGTTAGTGTCATATTTACTGCTGAAGCCACCACAGACGAGACTGCTACTACAGCAGCTGCTGACGACGCTACAACAGCAGATGATGATGTTACTACTGACATTATTAATTATCTGCAGAAAAATTGAGCTTAAATTTATTTTGTTTATTACTTCAAGTTAATATGTATAACTGACTAAAAGATATGTATCTTGATTAGCTAAATTTATCTAACATTGTATTTTAAATTTCAAGAATAATGATTTAATTTAAAATAAATTTTTTATATTTTTAGAGTTAAAATGCATTATAGTGCCTTAAAAATCTTGTATTATCTATTTGTTTTATTAATCAGATAATACTTTTGTGAAGCTGCTCTAAAAGTGTTTATAAACAATAAAAAGGTAAGAAAAGGTAAGTTCATTACTTTCTTTATATTACCAAAAATTGCAATAAACATCTGTTAATTCCATTATTAAAGAATTTATATTTATCTTCAGTAATTAATTAAACTGAAGAATAGATTCTGAGAATCCACCTGTAGCATAAGAAATCAGTTGAATCAATCGTCAGAACTTTGATACTAATCAGTTATACACTGATCAACACAGAATTATATTTCAACAACTTTTTATATTATTAAATTAAATTTGTAATGGCACTTATAACTATACTTTATCTAAATTTAAATAAAGTAATTCAATATCTAATTTTAAAAAATATGTTTTTTAACTTTAAACTGTTGAAAGTACTAGCGAGCACGTCTGAAATTTAACAAATCGCTGTCAATAACGCCGCAACACAGAAGTGTCATATTTTTAAAACCAATTAACTTTTTATGTTTAGAAATCTAAAAATGATACTTATAATCACTGCAGAAACCTTTCCTTACCTCATGTCATACATGTGCTCTTTTATCTTTTCTTCAATAAAATGAAGAATTAAAAACTGACAAATGCATGTGGAATTGTAATTCCACAAGCATTTGTCAGTCTGAATAAGCTCAATCAATCTCAATTCTATAAAAGCTATACCAGTCCTATCAGTTTCTACCATGATGATGAAGTATTTTTAAAGTTGCCACCATATAACTTTGCAGAAAAACATTTGCTGATTGGATGTACATTTGCAACTGGCACAAGTATAACAAACTTTTTGTTTCAGATTGTGGTTGCAGTCTCGTTGGTTTTGGAGGGGTTTACTAGTTATTGAGAATAGTTGTCGCAGTTGCCTGCACAGCTGAAAATTGCTAGGTGTGACTGCAGCTTTAGAAATATGAAAAAACATATCTTAATTTTTTGAGATTGTTGGTCAACAAAGAATTGCAATTCTCATTTCATCTTTGTTAAACTACTTTATTAATTGACATTTTTCTTTTTTTTAAGAGAATTACTTTATGCTAGTTTTGGAAGTTACAAATGTGATGACCATTCCACCTCTTGACAGATTTTAACAATCAGTAAATACTGCTCCAAGACAGTTTTCCATTAAGACATTTGTTTTTACAATAAAAATTGTACTAATGAATATGAAACTGAAAAAATTAACACTTTTGTGATTTTTAAGAAAGCTGTAAGAGTTAATTCAGTGAGAAATGCTGCTTATCATGAATACTCCTAATGGAAATATTTACAAGAAATATGAATTTTAATAAATCAGAATATTTCTAATTAGAATTATGTTTAAATAGCAATAAGTTTTTATTCTATGGTAGAAAAATTAATAACACCATTAGTTATAAAACTATTAAATATATTTGAAAAACTATAGTTAAAGATGTAAAATTTATATAATTTATTATTTGAATTGTTACATTATTAAATCTGTAAACTTTATAAAATATCATCTTGTTTAACTTACCAAAATCAATAATATCAATGAGCATACTATTAATATACTCATTGATAAACTCAAGTGACTGCAACTTGATTAAGTCAGAGAAACTTTACAACTAATGATTTACATGAAATATTAACAAAATCACTTCTAGTTTAATACTGAAATCAGAAATAGCCATTTTCTTAATTTCACTATTGAACCTTCAGATGAATTTAAATCATCACTAAGAATATTTACTAAATTAAATTAAAAGATATGTAATGTGTCTCTAATTTTTAAAACTTATTATTACAGAAATTTTTGTATGCCATGGATTCAATTTAATATTTCTTATGCTATAAGCATTTAATACTAACTTTAATACAGGACAAAACCTACTTGTGTTCCATCTGAAATAGTTGATAATCTTTCAGTGCCTCCAGTAACTGCTTTAACAATAGCAGTCATGTTTGCAGGATTGACAGAGGTAACAGTTGTGGGTGTACTAATAGGAGATGGAATGGCATTGACAGCTGCTAAAGTTATGGTTCCAGGAACTGCAGGTGCAGGTTGAGCTATAGTCTATTAAATAAGTTTAAATAATTTTACAACAGAACTAAAATTAATTTAACTTTACAGTTTTATATCTTACCGTACTTACTGCAGGTGTTAGTGTCATATTTACTGCTGAAGCCACCACAGACGAGACTGCTACTACAGCAGCTGCTGACGACGCTACAACAGCAGATGATGATGTTACTACTGACATTATTAATTATCTGCAGAAAAATTGAGCTTAAATTTATTTTGTTTATTACTTCAAGTTAATATGTATAACTGACTAAAAGATATGTATCTTGATTAGCTAAATTTATCTAACATTGTATTTTAAATTTCAAGAATAATGATTTAATTTAAAATAAATTTTTTATATTTTTAGAGTTAAAATGCATTATAGTGCCTTAAAAATCTTGTATTATCTATTTGTTTTATTAATCAGATAATACTTTTGTGAAGCTGCTCTTAAAGTGTTTATAAACAATAAAAAGGTAAGAAAAGGTAAGTTCATTACTTTCTTTATATTACCAAAAATTGCAATAAACATCTGTTAATTCCATTATTAAAGAATTTATATTTATCTTCAGTAATTAATTAAACTGAAGAATAGATTCTGAGAATCCACCTGTAGCATAAGAAATCAGTTGAATCAATCGTCAGAACTTTGATACTAATCAGTTATACACTGATCAACACAGAATTATATTTCAACAACTTTTTATATTATTAAATTAAATTTGTAATGGCACTTATAACTATACTTTATCTAAATTTAAATAAAGTAATTCAATATCTAATTTTAAAAAATATGTTTTTTAACTTTAGCTAACAAGAAATATTCTCGTAAAAAATTTAACTAGACAATATTTAAAATCTGAACAGAATAATATTTCAGTAATTATAAATATCACAAAAAATTCAATTTTATTATTATTAACAATTTTTTTATAATTTGAAGGTTTATCTAAACAAGGAATGTACATGCAATAAAAGATGATCATGTTTTTTTGAAATGGCTTTTATACGTGTATATGATATAGTCAACAATCTATCAAATACCTTATAAAAATCTTATATTTAAAATTAACTCAATATACAAGATAATTTTTTCCAGTTAAAGTATTTTTGAAATGATAGAATTCTTAATTTAAATATAAATACAATGGAAGGCAATTAAAAGTATCAAGTATTTAAAAAATTGTAGCTGATTTAAAATGAATGTATTTAAATGAAATCAAAACATCATATACTAAAAGAACATAATTAAGTAGCATCCATCTTTTAAAAGTGATTCTATTAATATTATATATATATTAATGTATTAAAAAGGGTGAGTCAAAAGTCACTTTCACTCTTTCCATTCCAAAAGTACTAAACATATATTAATTTTGTTAATGTAGTTACATAGGAAAGTATGGCAAATCAGATGACAGTTTTTGATCTACAAAATCAATTTCAAGGTCAACAAACAATTGTTGACCATGCTGATTTAAATAGTTGCACTTTAGTAGAAGTGTTAAACTAAATGCATTCTGTTGGAACTGATTTAGTAAAACTTTTAATATGAAAAGGTAATTGCAGCAAAGCCAAACAACCACCAGATTACATTGAGCTACTTTTCTATGATTATATTTAATTAATTAATTAATAATTACTAAATAATTTAGTAATTAATTAAATACAATCATGGAAAAGTACCCCAATGTAATCCAATGGTTGTTTGACTTTACAAATTTATTGGGTTTCATGATGTTTATGCAATTGCAGCAATTTAACCTACTGTATAAAGATACAGATGAAGATACCAGTGAAAAATATACAATTTATATGTTACATATTGTATATCTCTCAGTGATATCTTCATCTGTATCTGTACAGATTAAACTGTTGCTATTGATGAAGAATTACTTAGTTTTCAATATCATCACATTTCTGTTGTAAATTACTGAATTTCATTTTTTTGGCCTATTTTTAAAAGACGCCTCGTCTTGACAGGAAATATGAATAAATATATTTAGATTTGTTTTACAGAAATGCTTAATTTTATTATCAAGTGTGGCATCAACATAGGGGGTAGTCTAAAAATTGGTGACAAAATGTGCCAGAAAAGGGGAGGTAGATAGTCAAAAAAAGACTTATAATTGGTGACATCATATTTGAACAACCCTTTATATGTACTCAGAGATGTAAAATTCAAGTCTGAAGCACAATATTTTAGCCAAAACACATAATCAAAATAAAAACAAACAAACTGACCAATTTCTCTTCAAATCTTTGGATATTATGATATAATAGATACACTAACAAAATTCTATCATAAGATGAAAAAATAAAGGGATTCCCTACCAGATTCTTCCATGTTGCATTTGAAGGGCACAAGATTGCAGATTAAACATTAGTTTGAAGTTCAATACACCTAAACGCCATTATTATAGTGTATTATGTATTACACACAGTAACTGATTATAAGATACAAGTTTATTTGTGATGTTTGGAACTATTATTTTTTTATGGTTACTTTACGATACAATTCCTTCATATGACTAAAATTTTCTATTGTCAAAAGAACTACTTGCAATTTACTAGCAACCATACTACCTTGGAATTATAATATTTCAATAGCACCAATAGTGGATGTTATTCTGAACATCCTAAATTTTTGGAGAACAAAATTAGCTTATAAACAGAATATTTCTTTATATATTTCTCACTATACAAGTCACTTGCATCTTACACATTATAGATCTTCAAAATTCCTATACTTTGTGAATCACTTCAGGAGCATCTTTACTGTATTAAATGTCAAATTTATCTTGACATTTTTTTGACAACATGTCTGAGGAATGAGTGATGACTAGCATATGACATCACTTTGTATCTATTTCACTTGTATCGTTATTTCCTTTATGTCATTTCTCATCTTCATGCATGCTTGCTGCCTTATTTGTTTGACATTATATTCAGCAATACATAAATTTAAAATAAAAATACTTAACTGAATACATAAATTATTAATTGTATTATTATTTTTGATTTTTTGAATATTTTATTATGATATTATTGTTATTTTATTGTTTATTAGAATAATAAAAATATAGTGATTGATTTATTAATTAAATTTATTATATAGACTCATAGTAAACTTTTTATCATTTGTGTTGCTTACTAATTCAAATTTAGAGAACTGAACTATTAATTAAATTTACTGACCATCTACTTATATTATTAAATATCTCTAATTAGGAATATACTGTAATTTTCTAACATAATAGTTACTTTGGCCTCATTGATTCATTTACTAACTGACATAATATTTGAGCAGCAGATTACAAACAAAAATGAAATTTTACAGTTAAAAGAAAATATCAAATATATCATATACACTTGAACAGATACACTATGAGCTTACTTTTTTGGGTATATGAGTCTATCCATTTAGAGTATGGATTTATTCAAGTATGTAGGTTTATTTTTATTAAAAGTAGTGTGTTAGTATGAATAGTCTCAGGAATCAAAGTGAAAACCAAAAAATAGTTCTAAGAAAATAACACAGATGGCAAGAAATGAGATGCAATAATTTACACTTACAATTTTGATCAGGTTGTTTGCAGTAATCTTTAGATTTGTGAAATTTGTGATTTGAATAAACCTACATATGAGTTTATTCAAGAATTGTAGAACTATTTTTTAAATGGTATTGGGATTTGGTTTATTCAAGCCTGTGAATCTAATCAACTGTATACAGTATTACAAAAATTGCTAAAATAATTTGTGTTACAAGATATCAAAAGTTAGCTCTTCAAGTTTATACAAGAAAATGATGTCCAAAAATTTTACATGCCATCTGCCTATTTTAGATCATTATTATTACTAAATTATGTTAGTAATAATAATTTCTTACAAATAACCTATAAGTTGGCTGTGTTTGAAAGTCAATTTGAAAGCATGATTATGCAATGATATGGATTTTCTGCCAATTTTGACTTGCAATTACAAATGCCTCAAACAACTTTTATTTTGTTTAAACTGACCAGATGTCTTGTTATAAATCAAAAAAATCCTTTGCATGCTACAGATATATTCATCTATCATAGCAATTTTTTCCTATATTATCAAATATCATCAAAGTGCGACATATATACATGTGCCTCACCTCTAGTTCTCTCCTGTTGAATTGGTTGTTTTGGCACACATGAAAACCTGATGACCAGGCTCCAATCAGGTTACACCTACATGTAAACACAAAATTCAACGATGTCTTTGTTCAGGGTTAGTCAGTTGAGCAGAACATGACCCTGAACAAATTCATCCCCATCTGAAGTCCAGTCTGGACCAGTGTAACCTTCAAACTTTTATCTCATTGTAATTAGACTGAAAGTGAATAAATAGATTAGAGATCTAACCCCAAAAGATTCTAACAATGGCAACAAGGATTAAGGATATGGTGATGGACCTGGAATCAGTTAAATCATTCATAAAATCTTTACTTGCAGAACAACAAGAAGTGTCTCACCGATGACAAGAGGCTGAACATTGTTGAAAGGCAGCTTTATTTAAACTTAACAATGATATTCGTTCTATTGCACACACACCTTCATCCTTGGAACACTCCCTTAGTTACCAGAATTCCAATGCAACAAAGAAAATGGCTCAAAATTCAACGAGCGGGTAAGTTGATTTGAGTTTGCCTTGAAGTGCATGGCACCTAAGATTGCCAACCAGGAGAAAGTCAAGTTTCCTATGACTAAACTTTCTGCATTCGCCTTTAGCAAGTACAATAAATATTGTATGCAGAAGTGTTTACAGATTTCAATTACAAGGAAACTACTACTCAACTCAGTCAACTTTTTGCAAGAAATGTTTGATCTTTGCAAATTGCTATGATAGAGCTATGCATACTTTGCTGATTCCTCAGTATGGTAAACCACTACCAAACTTTTGTTCATAACATGCCATCCATTGGATGAATTACTACAGAAAGACCAGAAGTGGTAGCGATCAAACAAATGCCAACAGGCCTCCAATGCATCAAAGACATTCTAAAGTCAGATTTACTCCTCACTTACTATGATCCAACACTCAACATCATTGTCACAGCTGATGTATCAAGCCTGGAGCTTGGTGCCATTGTCCAACAGTACCTGCCCAATTGAACAATCAAGACTATTTCCCACCCTTCATGAATGCTCACTCCAGTGAAGAACCACAGTCAAATCAAAAA